GCCGAGTGTTATACTGACGGCAATATTATAATACACTCAGTTATTAAATAAAAACTATTATTGTTCAATTTGATTGTACGTTTGCACGCAATAATAATTTATACTTTAGCTACTAGTTCCTTTCGCATTTATTGGTTTCGCAGTTATTTTAATATTTTTTCTATTCATTTGCTGTTTTTGTCTCGTTTAGTCGTAGACCACTCTTATATTGCTGTACGCAATTTTCGATCTATAAGGAAACTAAACGAAACTCTTGAAATGGTTTTTTCTATAAAAAAAAAAAAAAAAAAAAAAACTACAAATTATTTATAGACAAACATATTATAAAACGAAAAGCAGAATTATATTATAATTGTTTTATTATCATAAAAATAATCAATGTTTGTCGTGGTGTTTGCTTGATATCAGTGACGTAGCAAAAAGGGTACAAATACGGTATTTGTGGGAGTTTAAAACAATTAAAAGAAAAATAACATTTCCACTACATTCAGAGGATATAAGTCTTACGTTTTGGTAGTTTTCCATTTTATTTAAGCATAAACGTAAAATATTTCGTACATACAACGCATAATACAGGAAACCACGTACTGAACAATGGACTGATGCGAGGTCAGTTACATTAGCACCCCCAAACTTGGAATTTCGTTAAAAAATTTGCATTAACAATTGTTATTTTATTTGTACACATTTGTAATCGAAAATCACGAATTTGTACCCCACTTAGAATCCACGAAACTATTACGGTGTTAACTATTACTACGGTGGCACTAATGTAACGTAACACCAGAATGGTTCTGGTGACTGGCCATTACACGGGTAGCGCCCTCAGAGCTAATGGGTAATGGGAAACATGTAATTTGTATTATTTAATAACATGTAGTAAATTATAATTTATCATATACTCGTAAAACATCTAAATTTCTGAATATACTGTATAACTAATTTATTTGTTGGTGTGATTCTAAGCTGAAAAGTTAAAAAATATGAATTAAATTAATCAAATAACTGATATAAACGGTACTAAAAAAAAAGAGCTGGGGACGAGTGTACCATTGTTGTGAGTTGGAAGTTCGGAAGGTGGATGCAGGAGGTTAGAATGCCAGTTATTTATGTGAAGAAAATATGTTTTGCTTAATTTTTACGAGTGCGGGTCGGAATTTTGTTACAATACACCTAAAAGTAATGTCAGTAAAATTTGAGCTCGATCGAATTTAATTAACAGGTGGTGACTTAATCTCAAAGTTTTACAAAAAAGAGTAAAATTTTAGTTTTTAATGTATAATTGCTTTAATTTTAAATTTGAGAAAAATTAATATTGTTCAATTATTGTAGAATTATTTTTTTTTTTACAAAAATGTATTTATGTGTTTTTTTATAAATTTAACTAAAAATTAACTTAAAGAAAACATTTTTATAAAGGTTTTTTAAGATCTTCCAATGTAATAGTTTTTGGATAATTCTTACGGTCATCTTGAATAGTCTGAAAATATAAAAATGTTTGTTAATATATTATTTTAAATTACATAAAATTAATATTTATCATTTACTTTTAATAGAAATTTGATCTTTACCTTTATCTTTAAAAATTGTATTTTCAATTTTGTTTTATCCTTGTAATTCAGTTAGAAACAATCGCAGAGACCGGACATTTTCACTGAGTATTCATATTGGTCCATTCTGTAAAACTTTCTAAACATTTATTAACTGTCTATTCGTTTTTATCTGGTTTTATGCAGTTAACATTTTTTCAACCTCGACAATTTGATACAAGGTCCATGAAATGGTCAAGTTTTTACGTCACTATGAAAACATCAATTATTTATTATTTTTTTATTTTAAAATTCAGTTCAAACTTCGATGAAAATGATTGAAAATCGCGGAATTTCGCGTATTAATTTCCGATCGACGCGGATACAATTTCTCCGGCCGTCCGTAAAAATACCGGACCGAAATACACACTCGTAACCGGGTGACGAAACCCGGTCGAAAATTCCGCGTCCGTCGTCGCAAATCAAACGTTGCGCGGGCATCGAAAATCGTAATCAGTGGAGGCGATGTAGTGAAATCGCGAATAAACCGTAAAACCGTCGTGTCGATCCCGGAACTCGACAACGGGTTCGGCGATTTAGAGAAGCCGGATCTTAACAAAAAAAAAAAGAAAAAAAAAAAAGCCAATTGTTCTAATCGATACACGCGGCGAGCTTTTGCGGGTTACTCGGCCGTAACATCACGCGTTTCGAAATTAGATCACTCGTGTTCGGTATTTATTTTTTTGTACTTTTAAGCCGATAGGGGGGAGGCGAGAGGTATACAACCCCTAATCTCTCGCTCCCATTCTGTGTACAGAATTAAGGTTTCGGAACTTGTATGTACCCACTGATAATAATAACGACCGGAAAAGCGAGGAATAAACAATTAATAAAAGGCGGTCGAGTGATGCGATTCAAATCCACGCGCGGCAGACAGGCGTTTACGGGCCCCGCGTCGTAAGTACGCAGAAATATTTGCGCATAACATCGTTGGTTTTGTTTAGCGGACCGCAGCCAATCGGCTATCGCGCTCTCCATACGGCATTGCCCGGCACGTACGTTTTTCGCCGGCGCAACAAACGGACTTTCAACGGCCCGAAATTGTTCACAACGTCGCAACCGGCGCCCGACGACGCATTCGAATCTGCCCTGTACAATAAATATTATCGCGTACGGCGCCGGACGAGATTCACGGATCGTCGTGACGTTATTCCCGGTGCCCCGCGCAAGATGCGGGTCTCGCGTGCGCGCAATCCGTGCCGCGGACGTTTCCGTTCCGCCCGGGTAATTGCGGCGGCACCGAACGGTTAAAATAGGTCATGTTTTTTTTTTTTTTTTTTTTTTCTTCGCTACGCTATTATGGGCACACCCGTTTGAAACAATCGTCCGCGTACGCCCGTCCCGGCCACGGGAAATTACTGTTCTAACGACACTATTCGCTCGGGACAAGTCACCGCTGCGGCAGCTTATGCAGGCGTACGGAAACCGTTTATTAGTGTTGTAAACAATAATTCAACGCTCGGAACTTATATCGCAACCGGAATCCGAAAAAAAAAAAATCGCTTAAAAAAACGTCGAAAAACCTAGGCAAATTATATTTTGATAATTTAGAGCCGTTGAACACGGCACCTTTGATCCGATAATAATGTTCGCCCGAAGTGTTTTTTTTTTTTTTTTCAGAGGTTTTTTTGACGTTTTTGCGAATTTCATGTGCGATAAGTCCCGAGCCCTGATTATAATATTATATCGAACCGGCACGATTATATTGTAACGCACGTAACCTGTTGCTGCGGTAAACGCGAACGGAAACGGTCGCGGCAAACGATATCGCGCCGAACGCATGAGCGAATATACGGCGGATTATTATAATTACGGGAATTTTTTAATTTTTTTTTTGGTTCGTTTCACAATGCGCATATTTTACGTATATGTTATAGCTTTTTCGGTCGGTACGTGATATCATTGTTGTATTGTATCGGAACCGGTTTGGAAAATAAACCGCCTATCCAGGTCCCGCGGTGTCATTTTTGCGGGTCCTCGATAAGTTTTCTTTTCTTTTTTTTTTTACATTTTGAGCGGAGCGTGGAACGTGTCGGTTTTACAATGATGTTTTTTTTCATTTTTTTTTTCCGGGAACAACTTTTTTGCCAGCAATCATGCTCCGATTTTCAAGCGTATTTTATAGCGCATTTTCCTAGTGGATATTTTCCTGTGGCGGTACTTTAAGGAGGTGGTCTTTTTTTGATTTTCCTTAATACCTAATAGTTCCTAATACCAAACGTACGTTACAATATTCTTCTTGATTCGCATTTTCCGTAGGTAATGACCGCGTGAAATTACTGTCCATACAGCTACGACAACGGCTAGACACGGGACCTCTAAAGGGTCGTGCGAGTGTACAGCTCGCACCAGTGGCGTGATTGACAATGTTTTAAGGAGGGAGGATTAGCCCAACACAATTTCTCTCCCTCTTACCAATATTTAATAACTCATCACCGTGGCTCCAAAATTTTTCTATGAAATGGAACGTCTGCGTTTCTAAAATCGCAACGTCCTAATCACGTTCGGACGCGCAGTGTATTGTAAAGCTTAAAATTAAATTTACCGTTTATTTTGACACAGACTACTAAGAATATTGCTTACCTAGTATAATGATAAACCGCGAATATTTTGGTACTCCTACCAATACAATTAAACATTTATTATTTTTTTTATTTCATAACAGTTTTGAAAAATTTGCATTCGGGGCTATACAATCTGTATAAAATAACAATATACTATATTGTAAATGCGGCTCATGGGGGGAGGGGATCTGTCCTCCGTAGCCCCCCCTGTAATTGCACCTCCGGCTCGCACCGCCTTCGAGCCGGCCCCGTATTGTATTAACGAGACAGCCGATAGCCCGCGAAACATTAACACAATGTGAGGTCGTAACGCGTACGTCGTGTGTACCGACCCGAAACGCAGCACGTTCGCGGGGTATCTTTCGAACTATTCGATATAGTTTTCATTCGAACTGTATTCGAATAGTGTTTCGAAATATTCGATATTTATTCCGAATACAAGACGTATTCACGGGAAAAAATATTCGAATGAAATATATCCGATAGTTCGTCCAAACTATCGATAGTGCCCGTCACTAATATACGTACACTGCCGCGAACTTCGAAAAACCACGCGACCGCGATAATATTACGGACTATAATAATACGAGTACAACGACACGCGGTGCACTTCGGACTAAATTGTCGTGATATTATTAATTCGTCGTCCCGTGTACATAAGTACAATAACAATGCCGTTTAATCAATGCGCTTGCAATTCGAACATTGCGCAACGATTTCGCGTAAAGCGAACATAAACGGAATTAACATATTATTCATTTTTTTTTTTTTTTTCATTGTCTAAAGGCTCCGCCTTGTCACTGCAATTCCCCAGATTCGTTTCCTCGGGCCGTCATCTTCCTCTTTTTCAATGTAGCTCTCCTTCCATAGTATTTGTAATAAACGTGTTATGTCTCGTCGTGTGTTCAAAAAACTCGGTTTCTTTTATTTCCATCGGTTTGATCATTTGTCTAGGTTCGTCTGTCGTATTCAACACTTCCATACTAGATTTTTTTTTTTCTGTCCAGCTGATCTTCATAGTTTTCTTCAATATCCACATCTCTATTGCTTCTATTCTTCTTTTGTCTAGGGTGCTTAAAGTCCAGGACTCGCTACTATATAACGCTACACTCTGCAAACATACGTTTAAATAAGCGATGGCGGTCGCTTAACGGAAAATGCGCGTACATCCGCAGGTTTAACGAAACGCAGTGTGAATTTTGAACAAGACGTGTCTCGAGTGTGGTCCATACGATAATAATATACGCATAATACGCAGGTATATTATAATAACAATCATATCTGAGCGTTTGTGTCAACAAAAAGACCGCACTCGTAGTGATAACATTATACCAGTAACGACTGTGCAGCGGACTCGACAATATAATAACAGTCGGGTACGCAGTTTTTCGGTTTTTTTTTTTTTTTTTTTTTGTCGTTAACTCCTATCGTATAGTTACGGACAAGAAGTCTGCATGTTAAAATAATACACCGCCGTCGCGATTATCGGAATAAAAAAAAAAAAATCGATTAGTCACCGGGGATATAAGAGATACTGTTGTTATCTTGTCGGATTTAAATAGTGTCACCACAATAATAATAATAATGATTATATTATGATATACATACACACATACACAGTGACACGGTTGATGACGTCGAAGGGGTTAGGGCGAATCGGCAAGTGAATAAAAAAACATCTATACATGCTTGCGTAGTAAACATATTTAAGCGGGGAAAAAAAATACTCTTTATGCTGTCGATACATTTTATTATTATAATGTACGATATTTGTCTTGATTATTTACGTTTATACAAATTATATAATATTATATTTATTGAATCGACAGCATTGATTTTTTTTTATATAAAAAATATTACCACCTACTTACTATTTTTTTTTTCAAATTGATTCTTGTTCCACGTGTATTTTTTCCCTTACGCTCGAAGTGAGAATACCTATACCGCGATAATATTATTGTATCGAGTCTTGTTGTCCGTGTATACATTTCGGGTTATCCGCGTGAAATGGACGTAGGTTTGGAAAACAGCGTCAATGTCACAAGGGAAAAGTAAGGTATTTTCGCGGGATAGGTAATTATTCTCGTGTCGTTTGTTTAAAAGAGTTTCGTTACAAACAGTCGAGTGCGTGTGGTACGTCATCAACTCTGCACCACTAGAGTCAAGTAACCTAAGTCCATTTTTCTTTACCGTTTTCCTTTTATTTTCTGTCCTGCATACGGACGAACAACTCGGGACTCCTGAATTGGGTCCCGAAAAACAAATAAGGTATTAAGTAAGTATTGAGTCCCAGTAAAAATCAAATTATAGATGTGTTTTTTTTTTTTCTAACAATAAACTATAAGTTAAATCAGTAATATATTTTGTTAGGTTTACTGCGATTGTGAACATTAAAACTCCGAGTGTTAACACCATTTTGAGTGATTTCAAAACAAAACAAAAAAAAATCTTAAGCGCATGTGTGTTTACAGTAGGTCCGTCTCTTCATTGTGTAATTTAAACTTATGACCCTATTTTAAAATCGCGGTTTAATTTTTTTTTTAGTTTTCCGTTTTAAAATGATTTGTGTGTGCATTGTACGCTTTGTAATTATACGCCACTACAATATACAGTTACACTATTTGCAGACTTCAACGTTACAATTATAATAATTTCAGCTTAACTTTCCAGTTGATAATACGATAATTACAGTAAGTATATTGTATAATATATTATAATACTCGAATCCGGGACCCAACTACCTTACCTATATTTTTTTTTCCCCGGGACTCAATTTACCGTTTTCGAAACGAACGTTAATTACCGAGGACCTCGTTTTCACACAGTCCCGGACAACTGACCCCTGACGAGCAATAAGAGGTGCAATCCTACCCGAGTTCCAGACTACCGCCGAAACGGGACGGTATCGGTCGTTCCTCCCGTATGCGCCAGACAACGGAAATTTCAGAGAGAAATTTAACGTTACTCCTGCGATACAGAACCTAAACCAAACTTAACTACGGCAAAGAGAGTTTTGTAACGAACGTATTGAGAAATATCGCGAGCCCTACATCCGACTACCCCGCGAAAATATCTCAACTCACCCTGTACGTGTACGCCGCGTTTGCAATAACGATGTCCGTGAAAATGCGCATCGAAAGTGAATGGGGCACGGCAACTAGGTTTTGCGCGCGCACCGGTATCATAGGGTATACACGTATTGTCATATCCGATCGTACCTACGTGCCCGCCAGAGAAACCGTTGACGCGCGTACGCAGCGTCGTTTTTCCCCGTCGGAACGTCGACGGCAGTCGCCGGGATAGGTTTTTATCGAGTTTTTGAGGTCATTGTTTCCCGTCGACGGTTATACGCGACGCGAAAAGCGAACGTACACGTACGCGCGAACTTATCGTAATGTAATTTATTATCATTTTTTTTTTTTTTCTCCTATCGCGATTCGTTAGACGAGGTATGCGCATAATAATTAGAAACGGACACTTGCGCGGTATCGAATTGCAGCGATTCGCCAAGATAACAGAGCGGCGCGCACGTGGACAACGATCGACTGATACACTGCTGTTACACGCCCGTTGTAATGCTATTATTATTATTGTAATTTAACGCTGCGTTATTGTCCTGTTGTTTTTCGGCGGTTTTCACGTTTTCGGGACAGTGCGCGACAATGTCGTTTGTTTCAAAACAACAATAGACTGTCCAGCGTTCACGTTACGCGGATGTTTGTATTTCACTACTATCCGCGTTAGCCGCGTGCACAATACGGGTGCTCGCGTAACACGCGACAATTAATACGACAATTGTTACGCGTTACGATTATTGTGGTATTCGCCTTTATTTTATTATGCTAATACGGACAATTCAGATGTATACAAATATTATTATCATATTACATTTGGGAATTATGAAATCGCGATTTTCCGTAAGACGCGTTTTATGCGGCCCGCAGCCAAGTAGGGCGGAAAAAAAAAAGAAAAAAAAAAAAAGGAAAACGTAATACATAATAATTTTAGAATCGCGATTTCTTATTTTCGAACGGGGTTTGTCAATTGTCCCGGTAGAAACCGTTGTTCCGTTTTTATCGTATTCAGGTGGAATCGTTTTTTCGTTTTACACTGTTTCAAATGTTCGTAACGTTAATATTATGTTCTTAAGACGGCGTTATACCCGCATCTACTGTCACGTTCCAACTACCGGGTATGGTGCAAAAACAATGCTTACGCGGAACAGGTGAAAACTAGCTTAGTTTTGATTTCACAGTAAAAGTACCCGTATTATGAAATTTACGGAGAACAATGTTTTGGCGGGAATGTCATAGGTGTTATTTGAATCACGAACTATTAAAAATGTTACAGTTGTTTAAAAAACAAAGGTTTTTGTTTGTATCTTTTGTGTTAAACATGAACTATTAAACAAGTTACAGTTATTTAAAAAATATAAAAAAAAAAAAAAATGGTTTTTGTATCTTTTATATCGAGATGTATATTTTTAATAATACAAAAACCATATGATTACATTCCCTCCGAGATATTGTTCTCTATAAATTTCCCAATAGGTACTTTTACTCCAAAATCAAAATTAAGCTAGTATTACTTTTTCTGCGTGAGCATTGTTTTTGCAGTATTCTTTTCAGTAGTCCACTATTAGATTCATCCAAATTTTTAAGACTCATGAGTAACTCGGATAAATGTAATTTTATGAACGCTAGACCGCATTTGACTGCATTACTTTGTAAAAGCTGTTTCAGCTTTTTGACACTTGTAGCACCATCTGTTAAACTTTCAATCACGTTTTTAAACCCTTCAAAATTATTTACATAAAAAAGTGCAGCGTTTAACCATGTTTCCCATCTTGTAATAATAGGTTCGGGTGGTAAAGGTATACCCGGCATTTCTTTTCTGTATATATTTATTCTCGATGGTGCTTTTAAGAAAGCTTTTTTTCCTGAAATAAACGAAATAAGTTACATATGTATTTAAATTTTAAATAGGTAACTTTAACTTATAACTAAAAAAGTTACATTAACTTAATGTATTACCATTGTTAATCAATTTATTAATGTCAACATACAATTCTCGAATTTTCTCTAGAACTTAATTAACTGCGTGCGCCATACATGCAATATGAATTAATTTCGGGAAAAACATTAAAAATATTTTTGCCGTTTTGATCATATGAGTACCAGCATCACTAATAAAAAGTAATACTCTTTATTCAATACCAGGAAACATTTTTAACGAGGAATTAATAAACTGACAAATAGTTTCATAATTGGTGGATTTTAGTTCTTTACATGCAACCAAATATGATTTACTAGGCGTCCCGTCTAATTTACCAATTAATAAATTTGGAATAGACAAACTTAAACGAAAATAGTATATTTTATTATATTGAGAAATTAAAAAAAAAAATATTTATACAAACCTCTTTGCTGTTTCGTCAACAATTATGTAAACGTAATTATTTCCAATATCACTAATTATTTGGTCCATAACGCTTTTATAAATATTTGGTATGTAATTTTTTTCTTAAAATGCATTCACCCGGAATTGATTTGCCAGTATGTTTTTCAAAAAACGATTTTAACACATGATTGCCCAGCTTATGCAAAGGAATATTTGCAGCAACAAATGTAATTAAATAAATCTTCAAAAAATACATTTTTACTATTCGAATTTTGAGTAGTAATCAAAAGCTGTTTTTTTTTCTTTATTCCTTTGTAATGCATTTATGTGTTGAACTAAAAAAAATATTCATGAATTTTCGAAATAATATGTAGTATATTACGTGTAGTATGAGCATAAAATACAAAACTTACTTGTTTTGGAACAATGATCTAATAGATATTTTTTTTTTTTTAGTAGACACGGATTTGGTACATACGTAAGTGCATAAGTAATTTTAGGCATTACGTCGAATACGTTCACTGTGCGGTCAAACTGATAAAAAAAAATAGGTACAAAGGTACCAACAGATAAACGCACACGAATCCCTGTACTACTACTGCGTAGAATTTAATTACCACCATCTATATATATATATCATATATATAGACGCGTATCACTCGCTGGGCGTTCCAAGCTTTTAGAAAATTCCAGACGAACGATAAACGCCTATGATTTAAAAACGTGGGAAAATTGCAAAAAATTGCATTATAAAATTAAATGGTAAAATAAATAAATCCGGTCTTTAATTATAATATACGCCGTATACATTCTACTGAAAAATCACGGGTATAATTTACTGATTATATTATCATTGCCGGTTGGTAACGCTTATGCCATTAAATCCGTGATACACCGATAACTATATTTTTATTTAAAACGGCAATTTCAACTGAAAAATTAACATTTTTACGATCCATTTCCTTACGATTTATTATTATTGTTATTTTTTTTTAATTTTAAGCGTTTCGTCTTGGTCATTTTAATTGAAGTTTTGTATACCTAATCGATTTTTATTTCCCTTTTAACATTACATGTGCACGCATCGTTCATAAATCATAAGAAATATATAAAACACCCCGCGTTGAGCATAGGATGTTGACGTACACTCTCAACAAAATTTAAAAGAATACCACCGAATACGAGTACAATAAATATATAATTTACGAGTATAATATATACATATAAATTTATTGTTGTGGCGAAGGCGATCGATAAATATAAACGTAGGTACTAAGTTATACATTAATTATTTAAAGTTACCTACTTTTTTTCGTCTTATTTCACTTTTTTTTTTTTTATAATTTTCACCAATAATGGTATTTCCGTTATTGGGAATCAAGGTTCATTCCATGCATCGATTGATAAATAAAAAGTATTTTTAAAATGCTATAACGAGTAATATGAGTTATAGGTATAGGTTATAGGTATAGGTATAGGTCATAAGTATAGGTACAGGTACCTACTTACATGTTGTATACTATTATAGGCCATTATAATTTCACCGTCGTAACTTTCTTCGTTTATGATGTTATTTATGGTATATAATGACAACATAAAAACTTAGCGTTCGCATACTTCTTGTCAAGGCTGGGCAAGTTAATGAATAATATTAGGTGCCTTAATCAATTAAGTCAAGTTTGGTGAAAAAAATGTTAACGAGTTAGTCAGTTAAAAGTTAATTTTTGTTATTAATTAATCGTGTTATAAGTGAAATATTAGTTTGAAAATTGAATTAACTATACATATAAAGGTAGTTGTTATTGTCATAGTAAAAAAAAAATATTAAAAAAAGTAAATGCTTACCTCTTAAATGGACCTGATTTATTTACCAATTTTGTATGTCTTTTATACAAAAGATTCTAGGTACTTAAAACTCTCAACCCTGCCTCTTAATCTTTGCTTACAGTCATTAGTTGTTTTTTTCCTGTTCCTTTAAACTCATACTTTGTTTTAATTCTACTTATCCTAAGTCCTTTCTCTTCGAGTGTTACTTTCTATTTCTCAAGCTTACTGTTAACTTGTTCCAGATTTTTTTCTATCAAATTTATATCATCTGAAAAACACCATGCACTAGCATGATACATCCTCTCCCCTAATGTCCCACACACATCCGAGTTCTGTCAGCCATGGCACCCTCTGAAGTCGTAGCGCCCCTAGTCTTAAATCCAGCCCTGTACAACACACACAACGTTTGAAGGCTTTTGTGTAAATTAACGAATGTAATCTACAAACCAAAAGGTCAATATATTATATTATTTTGCTTACACTTATTATTATAATTTAAATATTTTATAAGTGGTTTTAGGGATTTTTTTGACGTTTTTAAGTGCTTTTTTATGGACTTTAAATACATATAAATCCGTTTCCTAATGATGATGGATACGATTTATTTTAAAATAATATTTTGCGTATCACGTATTGAATTGTTTGAGCGAACTACACCGCCAACTGAATTTATAAAAGACGTTCTGTACAATTTGAAACCGAAGGATTATGAAAAAAATTAAAAATTAAACTTATGGTGAAAATATTAATAATTTAAATGATTATTTGAAAACTAAAATCTTATATTTTTGTTATTTAGGATTTGAAGCCTGCAACGAGATATTTTCTATAAAATTCATAGAAAAATCGTTGCCTTCTAATGCGTCTTACCGTTGTTTTACGTTGTCCTCACGTCACAGTATTTTCTCTCTTGTTTTTTCCCTAATTTATCGTGTTTGTAATAATATATTTTTTACAAAATTAGATTAAAAAACGTTACCCCGTTGTTAACTATGTGAAATATTTTCCTCAGTTTTTGTAGTGTTTTTCCTACTATGATTCTATCGAATTTATTATAGTTTAAACAACATAATGTTATTAAATACAAAACAAATTAACTGTGGAAATGGTCGATTCGTAAATCACGATCAAAATAAATAGTTTATTAAGTAGATTTACATGCACACGCACTTGCTTGTTTATTATAAACTAATGTTTCGGAATGCCGAAGTGTTGATCGTTTTTGATCCCAAAAGAATTGTAAAAAAAAAAACAACTACATTACGCTCAATCACTGTAATGACAACTTCTAATATAATGAACCTTGTAATAAATTATGCAAATACCATACCAAATAAAAACTAAAAACTAAAAAAAAAAAAAAAACTCGAAAACGTTAAACGACTATAACTAGCTCGAAAATCACGTATTTTAAAAAAATTTACTACGTCTAGAAAAGGCGAACATAACCTAAATCTGTCAATATTTCAATTCTCTACGAATATTTTCTTGTTCTTTCCGCGTTTTTTTTTTTTTTTTTTTTATTTTTCTTAATTTTTTTAAAAAAAAAAAAAAAACTACCCGGAAAATCGAGAAACGACTCACTTACTCACCGAGTCGATTCGAAATGCAACAACAGCCAAATGTATCAATGCGCGTTTTGCGTTTAAAGCGATATTTCTAACAGAAAACACGGTTCGCGAAAATTTGAAAACAACGAAATCGGTTGCGCGCCGTAAATATTCGCCGTTTTTCCAACGTTACGGTAACACGATTTCCGGTTTGTCCCCTGCAGTTATTTTGAAAACCCCGCGGAAGGCTGCAAATTATTGTTATTAATATTACGCGATGACCTATACCGCTGCAGCGAAACGAACGTCGTCGCTGACATTGAACGTAATATAAGTACTGCACATAATAAATGCGCGTACAATAAAAAAAAAAAAATTCGAAACGCCGGTAGACATTTAAACATTTTGCAACGATTATATTATGATTATGATTATTATTGTTTTTGACAATAGTTATTGCATGACGAAATACCTAAATAATACCATACGACGTTTATTAATTTATCGATCGACTCGTTATTATTTGCGGGTCCTTGACTGACATTGTAATAATAATATCATTATGCATTATGCGTTAACCGCCAAAAACAATTCGGTAATAACGTTACTTATATTATTTTATGTTGCACACGTGCGTTCATTTTTATATTATTATAAACAGTCGGACTTATTATTGTGCATGATAATAGATTTAGCGAACAAAAAAAAAAAAAAAAAAAAAAAAAAACCAAATCAATTTAAACGCTATTGTTAATATTCTATTATAATATAATCCAAATATTTATTTATGATAAAAAAAAAAAAAGAAAAAAAATGTTTGTCCCGATGTAAAAATCGGTTTTACTCCATAATAGATCTTTACCGATCGACCTACGCGTATCTACGTTTAAAATCGAACCGTACACCCCGCGGCGGGCATTGCAGTCGATTCGGTACCTCGACGACCTTTCGATACTTTGGTATCGAATATCGAAATCGCGGTATAACGGTCGGTATTATCGGTTTCGACGTTTTATCATGTCAAAATGATTAAAGTGATTATGTGATAATCACGTCGTAGTCGCGGTTAAATTAGATTGAATAAATTAGTGTTTTATTTTTTTTTTTTTAATTGCGCGTTATCTGAATTCCTAACAGTGCGGTTTATAATAATAATAAATAAAATAACGTAAACGATTAACAATAATATATTAACATTTGTGTTTTGTTTTTAAACGAAGAAGGTATCGCGTGTCCATGTATCGAATTCTAAATTTTCGGTATCGCCCGTCTCCATGTGTAGTTTAAATAGTGTTTTTTTTTTTTTTTTTTTTTTATAATTTCACGTAAAACGATATGCGTCGTATTGTACAACGATTCCATTGTTTACGGTCTTAAAATCGCGTTTCAAAAGTCGTACGCGCGCGAGTGAATTATCATTGCGCGCATGAACTCTGAAATTGCCGCGGCGTATAGGTAAACGTCCGAAATGTATACAAGCGGGGAACTGGCAATTGTTTTCTTTTTACGATTTCCGAGAATTTATTCCGTATGAGTAGTTGTTCAAGTCCAAAATTGTAAATACCAGTTTTTATGGTCTGCCAAACATTTGTGCTCCGCGGGTATATAATATATATTTGCTGCTATAGCACGCGCGCAATGTTGATGTAAGGTCTCTAATAAAAATATATGACCAACGCGTATAATACTGGCTGAAATAATAATAATGAA